AGTTTGCAGAGTATCCCACATCTGGATTTATCCAGTTGCTTTCCCAAAATTTTATTTAACTAGTTTATCCTTGGTATATCCTTTAACTTGAATATTCGGTAAATAATTTTTTAGCATGAATACACCATGAAGTAACATTATATGATGGCTATTATTGGTTGTCAACAGACTATATCTGAAGTTAGCTAAACCCCAATGGGCTGGTTATACCCATGAGAGATTTTCCTTAATTAATCATTTGAATTGGGAGGATCCATCTTTAATCTGGTTCGCACCTTATGGTGGCAGGCTATATAAAGGACATCCATTAAAGAAGGACATTTTTGCTCTTCATTTGCTTTCTTTCCCTCTCACTTGCAAGTTCATTCCTTTACTGGGATCAGAACCTGCTTCTTTGGGATTCTAGTGTATACTCAAAAACCAACTGAGCATCCAAACCTTGTAGACTGAAAAACTACTGGATTCTTGGACTTCCTTTTGGCAGACAGCTATTGATGCATTAACTGGACCACAGCTTATATGCCATCTATATAATTATATATACAAAATTATATATGTATATATTATTGATAATTATGTACATTATACAAATAAATTATATATTATATGTTATATAATATATAGAAACATATCCCCTTTATATATTATATATTCATATAAATATATATTCAAATAAATCCCCTTTATACACACACACTCACACACAATCACTTCATTCTATCTGTTCTGCTCTTCTGGAGAATGTGGCTAGTTAATGCTAGTTTATTTTATAGCACGTCAAGGGGTATGTGACTGACATATGTGTCTGGGATGATGCTCATTGTTGCTCTGATGATCCTGAGGAGGGCTGTTATTGAAGATGCAGGACAATAGTCTGGATACCTTCCCTTGGCTAATTTTAATAAATTGTTCTCTAATTATGTCTGATTAATTTCTTTTCCATTTTTAAAATCATAGCTTGTGTGTGTTTTATTCATATTTTTGTTCACTTTTGTTTCTAAAATTATTCTAAGTTTGGCTGAAAGAAGCTTTCTCTAGCAGAACTGTAGAGCTGGAGGAATCAGCTCTTCCAAGTCCCTGTTGAAGAGAAAACTGAGGCTCAGCTATTTGAGACACATTGTCTTTGATAATTAACAATAGAGCAAGGCTTAGAATCCACATCTTGTGAGGCTGACAAGTGGTGACCCCTCAATTATAAAGGAGGCAGGAGGAAATCTTGGCTTTCAACCCCTTCCTAATAATGCTGAAAGTCCAAGAATGTGGACCAAGTTTTGCCACTATACATTTTTTGTTTATTAAAAGTCACTAGAGAGATGGATGAGTGGTCCAGGGTACTGGACTGCTCTTGGAGAATATCAGTTTCAGATAGGCCCCAGTACCTACATGGTGGCTCACAGCCATCTAATTCCACGTCTAGGATATCTGACTCTCATGAACCAATCATGCATGTGGTGCTCATATATACTCAGAGACATAATACTATACATTTAAATAAAATTAATCTTTTAAAAAATAAAAGTTGCTGTTTGATCATAAATTGAGGGCTCCATTATGTACTTGATTAGGAACCATTCTTAAAAAAAAAAAAAGCCATTGTAGGCTAAGTATGTGATCAGCCTCAGAGGAGAGAACACATTTTGGAGATGTAGAAGTATGTGATTCCTTTCTCGTTCACTTCATGCTGCATTGAACTTCTCCACCTCATGTACCCTTCAGAAAACCACCCAACTCCAGAAAGGTTTTCCTTTAAAACTAACCATTCCTTTGACCAGGCATGATGGTGCTTGTCTCTTATTTCAGACATGGCTCTCAGGAGGTAGAGAAAGGAGGAATGCCCCAAGTTCATGTCTAGCCTGTTAATACACACTGAGCTACATACAAACCAATAAGACTACATAGTGAGATCAGATCTCAAAAGGAGACAAACCAGTATTTGATGACAGGCAAACAAAAGCTTCATAGGAAATGAGACCAGTGGGAGGGCATTAAGACTGGCAGAGCCATGATAAGGACTTCATAGAGTTCTTAGTGGAAACTCCCCATATAGACACAGAGCCAAAAGGTCTGCAAGGCCCTGCCTTCCTCAAGGCAGACACTCAGTACTCAGGACTGTCCAGTTTAAGAAACTGAGTAAAATAAGGTTAAGACCAATCTGAAAACAGATGTAAAAATAAGGTGATTTTAAAGCAAATTTTAGGATTTGTCATTAGCGGTTAGGATCAACTTCAGGCCACTCTGTCATGTAGTTAACATCAAGTTTTGCAAAAGGTAATGTGAACTTAAGTCCTCAGGAAAGTAAAAGCCAAACCTTTATATGACTCTACAAGACTAAATGATTGATTAGAACTTCCTGAAGGTGGAGAGCTGGAATGTCATAGATCTAGAGACAGATTATCTTGCAGTGTCTTTAGCTCCCTCAACAGCCACACCTTGCCCACCTCCGAATCTGACCTAACATCCCTGTGACTATCAGGTAAAACCTTTTAGGAACATATTCTGCAGATAACTAGCTTCCATTAACCCAGAACACAAATGTCAACAGATAGATCGGAGTCTATAGCAGAGGGTTCCCCACTATGCTGTAACTGGCCCATCTGATGCTCCCACCAATGAATTTGAAGTGTCTTGGCTTCTGCCTTTATTCTGTTCTATAGTAACAAAATCTTCATCAAACTCTTTCCACAGTGGATTGAAATGCTACCTAGGGCAACCTGAGTTTCCTCCTAAGAGCTCTCAGCATATATTCTCACATGTCAATCAAGCAGATCAATTCAGCATAAACTCCCAGTGGCAAAGGTCCCCACACACCAATGAGAATATACTCTCAGTGCCACAGGTCCACACAGGCCAATCAATCAGTTCTGCTCAATTCCATGAATGCACATGTACCAATAAATCAGTTCTTCTCAACATAAACTCCCATGGGCACAGATCCACATGTACCAACCAGAATACACTTTCAGTGCCACAGATCCACACACACTGACTGATCAGTTCCTCTTAGCGCCATGGGTCTGTACAAGCCAATCAATCATTTCTTCTTCTCAGTACAGAAGGAAAGGAACAAAACAATTTGTTGATTTAATTATGTGCAAAGGACTGAAGAAAGGATGACAAACCAAATAGGTACATTGGGATGGTGGAAAAACAGAAATCTCAGGATGAAGCATGCTAAGATTCTGTAGTTTAGATTTCTAATGCAAGCCAAGTGTTCTCATAAAGGCTTGGTCTCCAGTGTTACAGAAAAGAAAATCTTAAGAAAGATGGTACCCAATGAGAGGTCTTTGCATCATTGAGCATGTGTTCTTGAAAACCTCTCCCTTTGGCATTCTAGTCTCATGACCTGCAACATGGTGTGTGGTCATAGCCTCAGAACGAAGCCAACTAACAGTGACTAGTCCGTTAATATTGTTTGTTCAAGTGACCCTTCTCACAAGCACACTAGTGAGTGTATCATGATGATTAGATAAGCAAGTTGTGTTGGCTGTGAGATGACTTATAGACCTGGGGTGTACTATGACTGAAACTCAATTTCAGTCCCTTGCACTGTCTAAAACTGGATTTGGAGGGCCACATGTGTAACCCACCCTAGGAGTTTCAGAGTAAGAGGTTGAGTCTTAGCAGCTCCTCTCCAGCTACATGTGGAGCTAGAGGCCAGCCTGGAGTGCACAGGACCGTAGCTCCAAATACATAGATAAACATGAACAAACAAACGTGGGCTTGGAGACCAGCCTGTGGTACATGAGATCATGACTCAACACACATATACACAGACACACAGACACAAATACACAAACATGAATAAACAGATATGTGGAGTCTGAGGCCAGTTTGGGATACATGAGGCCACATCTTAAAGCAGATGCATACAAATGAACAAATGGAAGTGTCCCTTATAATTATTACATATGGTTTCATAAGTCCGCACACATTTAGAGACCATGCCTCACAACTGATACAGCAAAGTCTACATGGATGGTTAATACACCGTGTAGTGTACACCTCAGAACTGACACAGTTGATACACTCAGAGTCTACATTTCATGCCTCACAGTTGATACACTCAGTCTACACCTCACAGTTGATACACAGAGTCTACACATCACACTTGATACACTCAGAGTCTATACATGTCAGCTGACACAGCAAAGTGTACACCTCACAGTTGATCCACCCAAGGGTCTACACCTTGCAGTTGATAAACAACTCAGAGTCTACTCCTCACACCTCACAGTTGATACAGCCAGAATCTATGCCTAACAGTTGGAAGATCAAGACTTCATGTTTATCCACTTGATATTTTTCTCATGGTTTACAGGACCTTTGCCTGTGCTTCTCACCAGGATACTTGTATGAATTCTGTCCCCTCCACTCCATTTCCAGATACTGATTTTTAACAAAGTGTGGGAGTCAGTATTTGAAACAACTGCCTTGGTAATGCTCATGCAGTGGTTCCAAAGCACACATTTTGAGGTTATATAAAGTATGACCACCAGACTTCTGGAAAGATTGGCAGGCAAATTTCAATGTTATTTATGAACAGTCTTCCTCTGAGAACAGTAAGCATATTTCTTTCTTGTGCAAATTAGGGATGGGTTTATGATTTTTATAGAAACCAGGTGATGTTCTGGCTGGTGGGCTTGTCTCTCAAGTCAGGCAAAATTTGTGCTTTGCATTTTAACCCCCCCTACCAGAGGCTGTGAGGAAGATGGAAGCATAGAGCACAATTTTCAGAGGTTGTCAGAATTTGAAAGTGGAGCAGTTTAACTCTTTTATGTTGGCTTCTGTGTTGTGGGTTGAAACTTTTAGACTAAAACAGATTAAGCTGTATTTAAAAAATATGGAAACATTTTCTATTAATTTCATAGTTTATATTAAATAGTTAATATTTTTTTTAAAAAAATGAAGATGTGGATGAAAAGATTCCAGAAGATAAAACAGCTTATTTTAGTAGCTGATTATTACATTGATGCTTTTTCAACATAATTTTTGCTACACAGGGTGAAAAATTTGGACCTTTTGCTGGAGAGAAGAGAATGCCTGAAGACTTGGATGAAAATATGGACTACCGACTGATGTGGGAGGTAAGGTATAGCTGTTAAATATCAGGAATGTGTTCCCCTTTGTATGATACTAAAGTTAGGACACTGAATCTGTAAGGTATAGCTGTTAAATATCAGGGATGTGTTCCCTTTTTATGATACTACAGTTCGGACACTGGATCAATATTGGTCTCAGTTGAGCTTTAGGTACTGAAATGTCTCAGTTTTTTTAAAGATATAATTTTTAAATTGTTTATGTGTGTACCTGTGAGTGCAGGTGACTGTAGAGTTCAGAAGAGGATTTTAGATCCCATGGAGCTGGAGTTACAGGTGGTTCATAAACAGACTGACCCCTGGCAGAGCAGCATGGGGCCTGCTTAGCTGTGGAGCCATCTTTCCATACCTGGAATGTCTAAATTTTGAAGACCAGCATTAAAAATATTAGACTGCTGCAATAGTTGCTAGACAATTCTTTCAGAACTCTGAAACTGAATTTAGAATTGGTTTTTTTTTTGTAAATAAAATTGTGCTTTGCCTTTAACCTTTATTTCCCTATTGCAGTTCTAATTGTATAGAAGTAACTTTGTATTTCTTGTTCAATCCACACTTCACACTTAAGCTGTATTTTCTTTTAGGACGTACATGTAAGGAACTAGGATGTTGTAAACTGTCTTTACCATGTGAAGTTTCTCTTATGTAGGATTTGCATATGTGAGTGTGTGTCTTATTTATCATGCAGATTTCATCTCCTAGTTTCAATGACATTTTGGCTCTATTGATTAGAAGAAGGGCTTGAGAATCAGAACTAAGGGATCAGGCACTTGGAGACAGTTGAAAGGGGAGTTTGAAGACCTCAGCAGCAGTAATTCTATTAGGTGGGCAAGAGCTGAGGCATGTGCAGATGACTTGAAAGGAAGAGGTTGTAAGTCAGAAAATGTGTTTTTGTTTTGTATTGCTTTGCTTTTGAGATAGGATCTCATGTATCCAAGGCTAGCTTGGAACATATAAAAAGTGATTTATTTCAAGGTTTAAATTATGCAGTTGTGATATCTGAAATGTGTAAGTGTTGTGGTTTGAATGAGAATGACGCTCATTGGGTCAGATGTTTGAATACTTGGTTCTCAGTTGGTGCCACTGTTTGGGTAGGTTTAGGGGTGTGGCCTTCTGGAAGAAGTCTGTCACTTGGGGTGGAATTTGAGGTTTCAAAAGCCATGCACTACTTCCAGTTTACTCTCAGCCTCCTGCTTGCTGTATAAGATGTGAGTTCTCAGTTGTTCCTATTACCATGTCTGCAATCTGCTGCCAAGATTCCCTGCTGTGATGGACTCTTTTCCCTCTAGAACTGTAAGCCCACCCTAAACCCTTCTTTCTGTTAGTGGCCTTGGTCACAGCAATAGAAAAGTAACTAACACAGAAGGTGAGGTCAACAGTTTGTACAATTAGATGAAGGTTAATGCTTTGGTCTTCAGGTTTTCTTATCTTAAAACACTGGGCCAGTGGAGTGAGAGTCCCATATATTGTGGTGGGTAATCTCTTTGACATAAAATGAACTTATTGTGCAGAATATCAAGATTAATGTTTCATTTCTTTGTGTGGTACTGCAGCTTAGCTTCTTGACATATAAATCCATCATAGCATGTTGTCTGCAAGCAAAGAACATGTGTGTGCATTCTCCTATTACTGACACCATTGGAGAGGTATGCAGTAGTATGTAAAAGGATTCCAAGAGGTTTCTTCAGTGTAAGGGTCAGGAGCAGAAACCAGTACCTGCCTACACTATAATCCAAACATGAAAATGTTATTGATACTGTCATAATTTAGCAGACTGTTTTAATTGCTTATTTTTATGAACCTATAATGTTTTTATGGCTTCTACCATGTTTCCACAGGCAGTTCATCTTTTTGCTATGAGATTTTCAGAAATTAAGTGTTATGTGATAAAGGAACCCTACTCTTATCCCTCAAGAAAGCCCCATAAATTCTTATTTAACAAGTTGCTAATGTTTTTGATATTTGTTGTCTGGAAAATTTAGTGGTGAAACCAATGTTTTACACAGCTGAGGCATTGTGCAGCAGATAGTAACTGTAATTTTACTCTGAAAAGAAAATTTTGAGAAAGGAAGTGTGGGGCTGTGTTTCTGCATTATGTGTGGCATTTTGGCAGCAGATCATTGGCTCCTTTGGCTTTTTGATGTCTTTACTCTTTGGTTTCATACACTAGCATCCCCAGTGTTCTTACTCTGCCATTCACAGAACTTGATGTATTTTGATGTTTGGTGTTGTAAGAGTCACGTGGTGGCTGCTGTATCATCTTTATTTTATTTGTCCTTAATGCTTTGAATGTGTTACAGTTTGGAAGGTAGAAAAGGATAAAGTCCTGCCTGCTTCAAATCCCAGGAGATTTGCTATATTTAGTCTTCTCTGAATCCTTTCCCTCCCTTTTTTTCTCACTCCTCTCCCTGTATCGTTATTGGGTTATTTGTTGACAGTTTTACATTGTCTATAATATATTTGGTCACACTTTTCTCCTTCCAACTCCCCTTTCCTTCTCTCTAAGTTCCCATCCAACTTTCTAGACTTTCTGAACTTAACCATGGCTGCTTATGTCAGAATGGTTCTTGGACTTATCCACAGGAGTATGAATAGCTCACCAGTGACCATATCACTGACCAATGACTTCTCTCACTCCTCACCTACTGTTAACTCTCCTAGACAGGGATGGTCCCTTGAGCCCCTCCTCCCTCAGTGACTGGATATTGATGGCTACCTTGTGTAGAGTCCATGTCGGCAACAACAGCTGTTGTGAATTTATGACTACCACAGCCATGCCATACTCTTAAGTCACAGTTTTGTTGCCCACTTCCCATTGACTACATTCTTTCTATCTCTTCTTCTACAATGTTCCTGAAGAACTGATTTGGGTGTCCCAGTAAGGCTGAACATTCTCCAATCATTAGTTTTAGCCCTGTCTTGATCAGTCATAAATATCTGCATTAGCTGTTGTTCCCTGCAATTACAAGCTTCTTCAGTTAAGACTAAGAGTAGTGCTAATGTAGGGCATAAACATAAATATTTAGCAGTATCCTGACAGCATGTCCATTTAGTAAAAAAAAAAAAAAAAAAAAAAAAGTAGTAGTTTCCTCTCTAGTGCCTGTGATCCCAAATATGAGGCTTTGGCCAGATCCACAGTACTGGACATGAATTCCTTCCTGTGGAGCAAGCCCCTGATCTAATCAAAAGTCAATTGGTTATGTCCATAACAGTGTATCACTATTACACTAGTAGGTACAGTTTGATAGGAAAGCTGGTGATACAACATGCTATGTCCACAGCTGAGAAACACCATTGCTGATGTTTCTCCTTTAGCTTCCAGCATAGTAACTGCTGGCACTATGAAAGCTCACCAGCAGGGAGGAAGTTCCAGCATGGTTTTATGTTTTGCAACCAAGATGCATGTATCTTCATCAGCCTGCTCTTACTGACCAATTCTGATGGTCAACTGATGGAGGACATGCTTCTGTGTATGTGTTTGTCTTATTGGTTGATAAATACTGTTTGGCCAATGAGGCAGCAAGTTAGGTGGGACTAGAAGTCAAGGACGATTCTGGGAAATGTAGTAGAGATCCAGGCAGGAAGTGACATAGTAGGCATACTCATATATAAGCAAGGACAAGAAGGAAGACGCTCCTTTTTCTCTTCCTCCTGCTCTCTGCTCTGGAGCTGCCATATGATCCCGGCAAGAGAAGACATCAGCATCTTGCCTGATAAGATTAGTCTTTATGGTTGATACTTAAGACTGAGCTAGCAATTATGAAATCCTAGTCAGTTGGCCAAGCAGCATTTGTACCTAATATAAGTCTCTGTGTGTTACTTGGGACCTTAACGTGGCCTGGCAGAAAGCGCCCATGTGGCGGCAGGGCTCGGGTGGTGGCTTTGGAGTAAAGACTTATGGTTACAGTCAACTTAGAAGAATGGTAATAGCCTGTCTTGCTTTGGGGGCACATGGGACTTACTGGCCAATAACTCCTATGACTGTGTCCCACACCTGACACATGACCTCTGAGATTGACATTATGTACTCATGCATGGTGCTCATGATCAAACTACCGTCTTTTCCCTTCCCTTCCCTCCCCTTCCCTTCTCCTTTCCCTTCCATTCTCTTCTCTTCTCCCCTCTGCGTTTTTCCTCTTCCTCATCTGGTATTCATTTTGGATTGCCAGATAGTTTCTGCTTTTCCAGTTGTGCTGTTGGCAGGAGGAATAAATTTTGTCACTGGTAGGTGTTCTGAAGGAATATTAAAAAACAAAACAAGGTAAGAGATAAACAGAAATACAAACAACACATTTTGAACTGTATAGATTCCTCACTCTCCTAGGCCTAGTCTTCTCCGTGATTATGGCGTGTGAGCTGCTTCAGAACCGGAGTTAGACTTGATGGACCCTTCAGGGTTGACAATGTCAGTATTCAGAAGGAGCAGAGAGCAAGGGGAAAGATTAGCCCTCCTATTGGGTCTTTCCTGGAATCCTTGATTATTCTCAAAGAGAAATGGAAGAATACCTTTGCCAATCAGTTCTTGAGACTATGTCTAATATGCCCTATATCTCAGTTATTTACCACCATGCTTCTCCTAGATGGCTAATCCTACTTATGTTGCAGCTATGACATATGAGTCTGGAAATGACACCCTAACAATACAGCATGAGGCACAGTTCTTTCTCAGTGCATATTTTATTGTATGTATAGTGCTGATGATTCTCTGGACAAAGCAGAAGCTCTGTGGGTCATTTTATATCAAAACATTGGAGACATTAGTCATTGTGGCTACTGATACATACCAGCTTCTAGCAGCATGGACAATACACAAAGAGATTTCATGAGCCATGGGGAATGCTGACATTGCTGGGAGCTCTTGTTCCCTCTCAAGATATAACTTGGGATTTAAGATGTCCATTGCTTCTGAGCATTTCATAGAATTTCAGCCTTTTTCCTGTATTGGCCACCAGGATTTGAACTTCTTTCTGTCCTTAGTGCTTCTTGATGGC